CAACCTGATCCCCTACCGTAACAATCCCACAATAAGGTTTCCAGGCTTTGACGAAGAAAGACCAACCACCCTTCCGCCTTTTGGCCACATTTGCAGAGACCGCCGTCCTTAAATTCCACACCATCCATGCCCGTAACGTATGGAAAGATGGAGACACCCCATCACGCAACAAGCGGGCCCACATGGGCCATACTGCAGCCCAAAAGGCCACCCGAACTACATCCGCCGCGTAGGCCTTGCGCACCTCTGTAACATCCCCTGCCAGTAACGCCCCCACTAGAACAGAGGCACCCCTTCTTCGAGCCCCCGAGAGAGGGACCGCATCCCCCAAGGAATCCCACCATTCCCAAAAAAGTTTCTGCGGCGAGCACTCCATCCATATATGAGGCAAGGATTCCTCATTCTGACAACACCTACAGGCCCTGTCCTTGTGCGAACACCTATCCGCCAACCATTGATAGGTGGGCTGTGTCAGCTGAAGACAAAGCCACAACCCTCCCGCATGTTTTTGGTCCGGGAGGAAAGTCAGCACCTTACAGACCTTTTGCCATGTGGGCGCACCCCAGGATTGAAGAGCCTTCTGATCCAAACATCCCCTTTTTCGCCCACCTCCCCCACATTTGATCAACCATATCTGTTGGGACGAGCAGGGACACGTAGATCACCTTTGTAGACACCTGATGAATTCTGCAACTCTTCCTGAGAGAATTTTTGGGTGCCCATTCCCACGTCGAAGGGTCCCAAGGGAGTTGGAGTGGCTTAAAAGCAGGCTTAAAGGGGCGAAAGCCCCCCCCCGAAGAAACTGATTGATCCCTTACCACCACAACCGACCTTATGTTGTTTTCATGGACCCTGCCATCCCGATTCGACCGCCGAACAAGAACCTCCCCCAACGTCTTTTGCGGGCTAACATCTTCCCATGCCTCCGCCGCATACCACTGGGTCCCCACTTTCTTTTTTAATTGAAAAAACACAATCGGCCGGTCCTGACCTTCCAAAGTAATCCGCTCCCCTTGCATACGGTCCTTGGACATGAGACAGTCAACCCAACCCTACGGAATCGCCTGTCTAATCGTCTTCAGCCTTTCCTGCTTATTTGGTTGATGATCCAACCGCCGCAACACCTCACTCTCCTCCCTCCATGTGCCCTCCTGCACATCCCAAATGTCAACGACCCGATGCACCCCACACTCCACCACTGTCTCCCAAAAGCGCCCAAGCAACCTTGCCATGGAAAAGGGGCCCCCATCTGTAATATGAACGGATTTCCAAACAAAGACTTGCCAAGGATCTGGTCACTAGTCCACGGGGCAGACTGCCGCAGGGGAGCCTCACGCCATTTCTCCAGGGCACATGACCACAATGCTCCCCGGCGAAGGCCATACAAAAGCTGAGGGTGAAGGAGGGCCGTTTCGACATCCGCCGGATGAACCCTGATAGCCTCCGCCATCTCTTGTAACGTGACTATCTTCCAAGGCTCCGTATCATCTTCCAAAAGGAGCCACAAGATGCAACGCATTTGTAAGGCGGCAACCTGCACTCGAGGGTCCAACAACCCCTGACCCCCGACCGATCTCGGCTGTACCAACTTCTCCCAACGCACCCTTTAGATAAGGTGCGAGGTACAGGGATCGTCTTTCCACAAAAACTTCCTAAGGGCGCCCTTATAACCTTTCCACGCCCTCTTAGGAGGATCCGATACTGTGCCCGCATACCACAGTGTTGCAGACACCGCGTTATTGGCAATGAGGACCTTACCAAACACCCCATGGGACGCGCGTTTAGCCCAAGCCGACATACGTGTTACTGCGCGATGGAGCAAATCATCCAGCTGATAACCTAATGACAACGCCACAGGGATCTGAATATCAAGATAAAGAAACTGCTCCTCAGTTGACTGGGTCCTCATGCCTTGGAACATTGTGATATCAACCCCGTCCAGAACCACCGCCACAAATTTCCCCCAATTCGCCCATGCACCCGCATACTTTTCAAAAAGAGATACCTCGCTGCGCAGGGCCGAAACGTCGTCATGTGACGGACGGGACATTGCCGCAGTATCATCAGCAAACGCATTAGACTTCACCTGTGTCCCCCCTGGCAACTCAAAACCCAGAATCTGCTCATTCGCCCGGATCATCTCATGCAAATGTTCCACATATAAGATGTATAAAGTAGGAGAGAGTGGGCAACCCTGTCGTACAGAGCGTGTGATCCTCAGGGGGGAATATAACAAACCATTAATCTGAACTCTAACTTCAGCCATCCCCAGCACAACTTCAACTGCCCTGACAAAACCCTCCCCCACCCCTCTACATCTCATGCCTTGCAGAAGAAAGGGCCATCTGACCCTATCGTAAGCCTTTTCAAAATCCAAAAACAAGGTAGCCAAGGAGGGCTGAGAACACCGAGCCTTCTCCATAATTTGCCGGACCAAGAGGACATTCACCAGAATCTGCCTTCGAACTACAAAGCCCATCTGCGTAGGGTGAATAAGAGAGGGCAACACAAGAGCAATCCTGTTAGCCAACACTTTCGCGTACACTTTATACGGTGCTGATAACAGGGAAATGGGCCTCCAATTTCTGACCTCCTCCACACTTCCTTTCTTATATAAAAGAATAATCGTAGCCTGACCGAAATTAGCCGGAGGGGCTTTCTCACCTGAAAACAGTCGATTAAACGCAGTGCACAAATAAGGAAGGAGGGCCCGCATTGCAACCAACAGATACTCAGCCGGCAACCCATCCGGGCCCGGTGCCTTACCCTTATGCATCCCAGCCAGTGCCCCCGCTATTTCGTCTTGGGTGATAGGTGCGTCCAGGGCCGCCCTATGGTCCGGTGGAACAAAGGTAGCACACTTACTCCACACATCATTCATCGGCAGAGAAGCCATGTTCTCAGTGGACCAAATCTCATCCTCACGATACAGATCCCCATAGAACAGTTCTACGTATTTGAGGATGTCTGGAGTGCTTTCCGCCCTTGGCTCCAGTGGGTCAAAGGGATGTCCCATTGAGACAATCAACGGAGAGTGGGAAGACTTCTTCATCTGGGCAAAAAAGGCCTTGGACATTCGCTCAGCATCTCGTACGCACTTAGTTTTGGAGCTGAGTCCCCACAATTCCTCATCCCGGACCTGCCAATCGGCCCACTCCGAGTGCAACTGGACCCACTCCGCCCACCACTCATCCTCAGAACCTGTCGGCGACGCTTCCCCCAATGCTTCCATTCGGCGGAGATATTCCTGGCCTGTTCGGCCATGCACCTGCCCGGACACCTTGGCCCTCCTTTTCATATTTGCAGCCAAGACCTGAACACCCTGGTGAAGGTGTTCCAGAAACGGTGTTCGTTCAGGCCGCGTTGCGAGCCAAAGCTCCCAATGCTGCATTACAAGGTCTCTGCCGAGAGAATCAGACAACAACCACACCGGAGCTGTCATCGGAGGGGGTCTTCTCAACACTTGGGGGTGCAGCGCTCACGAGGTAATGATAAGCTTGTGGTCCGATATCGGAACCAGCTGCTGGTGAAAACTCTGGAGGTTCGGTAAAAGATCGGAAGAGACCCAGGCCATGTCGAGCTTGTTGCGCAAGAGCAGTGAAGTCCCGAACCAAGTAAAGCTTTTTTCTTCAGGGCTAAATCTGCGAAAAGCATCCACCAAGCCCATGTCGGCCATAAAACCACACAATGCGTCAGCGTCTGGCTTCGGATCCCCTGCCACCAACGAGTCCCTACCCAGGCGGATTACCGTGTTAAAGTCCCCTATCACAATCATACTGTCAATGTCCGGGCGACAGGTCGCAAAATTCCTCCAAAACCATTTTCGGTCTGTGACGTCCGCCGGAGCATACACAGTAACTATCACCAACTTCTTCCCCCCCTCCTCAATGTGCACCCATGCCCATCTCCCCATCGTGTCCCAAAAGAAATCCAAAACCTTGCCAGTAAAAAACTTCGTCAAGATCATAGCCACCCCCCCGTTTAGTCTCCACAGTCGGAGCCCATAACTGGAAAGGTTCCCCAAAACCAAACTCTGGGAGAGACAAGCTTTCCCCCCTCGCCCTGGACTCCAAAATCTTTGTCTCCTGAAGACAGATCACCGACAGTCTAGCTTTATTGACTATCCATCTAACTTCCTTAACCTTGGTTCTCACTGAACGATGACCCAACCCTCTGACATTCAAGGACCCCACCTTAAACATGAGTAGCAACACTGAGTGAAGTGACAGGGGTGGCATTACGACTTAACTACAGACTTCCCAAAGATCACGACCCCCATGGCACATTGGCACCTGACCGTTGCGGACATCAACGCATACTCCCCCGGGACCGATCCGAGTGCCTCGACCTTCCCAAAGATCCGTCCGCCTGGCTGAGAGCTCCTGTCTTGAGACATCCGTCCAACGATACCCCTTCTCCCTGCCGCTGGTCGACCCTCTCCCACCCCCGGGATCCTCAAGATACCAACATGATTAACCTCTCTAAACTTCCTAGGCGGCTCATCCTCCTCTGATGTAGAACCCCGTACCATCGGCTGCTTCCCTCTTTCCCTGACACCAGCCCTAGCCTGAGACCTCCCCTTCCTCCGCCTCTTTCGAGAACGTGAACGCTTCCTATCTGTCGGACCCTCACCAAACTCCTCCTGCAACCTTCTCCCTGCACACGGACCACCCTGCATAGGCACAACAGCAGCCATGGCCATGGAGGTGCACACATCCTTGTCCCTCACGGGGGGGGGGGGACAGTCCTGACTAACACTTCTCACTTGGACCGGTGGGCGGGACAAAGAGTTAGGAACAAGCTCTTCCACCAACCACCCCCCTGTCGACACCCGAGACGATGGGCCCGCCCCTTCCAACAACCACCTGCCACCAGCGGAACCCTGAAAAGTGACAGAGTGTCGTGCCTCAATATTGACCCGGGAGATAGAGAAGGAGGCCGTGCCGTGGATCACTGATAGATGAGACGGTCGTGGTTGACCAATCGACGATAGACCTTGTGAGACTGTCGGGAAGACCGGTGCCCCTACAACGGGCGCTGCTGGCAACGAGGTGATCATAACACAGGAAGTCGACGGCGGAGTCTGGATGAGTTGTTGAGAGGGTAATACACCCACATCTTGTAATCGCTGCTCATCAACCTTTTCAGCAGCACCATCGACATATCCGACCCCAACATGATGACCATCCTCCCCATCCCCAATCTGCTGCTCAACATGAGCCTGCCGATGGTCCTGAGCAGCCTCCTCAATCTGGCGAACCCCTATTGGCTGGTCACCCCCACCCCCCCCGTCGCTGCTCCAAATTATTAACCGCTTCCACTATCGGCACCAGAGGTGCCTCTTGCATAATGACATCTTCAGGTACAATCCCAACACAACCCTCATGGTGAACCTTAGATGGCCCCCGTTCAGGACTGCCTTCATTCCTGTGAAGGCTCTCCTCCTGGCGCCTACCCTGATCCTTCCCCACGTGCCTCAGCACCTCGTCGTCCCTCGACGGTCGCTCCTGCTCTTCCTCCACAGGCGGTGGCAAACCTTCCTCCTTAGACACCAGGTGAGGCTGCTTCTCCTCTCGTCGCTCCGGAGGGCGGTCGCCCGTAACATGCTCCCGCTGGGAGGTATGCAAAGGCACGTCCCTATCGGAGTGAGACCGGGATGACGATCGCCCCGGCCGAGTGGGCACCCCTACTCCTCCTGAGTCAGTAGCCCCCCCACGCAGACGGCCCCTCGGGGGCGGTAAGAACCGCACATCCGCCAATCCACACACATCCCCCAAACTCTCATCGGCAATGATCTCCGCGCCTATAGCCACATTTACCTTTTTCTTGAAGAGAATCCAAGCCTCAACTTCCTTTGCAGCGTTGACCGACTGAGCCGGGTGCTGCTGTATGTGAAGCTCCCTTCGCCGAATCCCTTCCCTCGTCTCTCCAGGTGTCAAACAGCGGGCCGCGCTGGCCAAATGACCATGCTTACGACACAAGTCGCACCAAGGCGTTTCACTTGTTATGTACCGAACTTCCGGACGACCATAACATGGTATACCAATCGACAAGCGCTCCAGCCCTTTCCGCCTCAGAGGGGGGCATAGGTCAAACCGAACTGTCTCCCAACCATTCTCATCATAAAGCGACTGACCGCGTTCATCCTTTAGCTGACCGAACAGCTCCTGCGCGGCCGAATACAAATGCAAGCGTGCTAACGGCGGGGGATGAAGAAACTTGAACCACGGATTCATCCTACTTTCCATAAGACGATCCCATTCCATATCCACAGGTGTCTTCCATTCTGCGAAAAGCGCAATACTAACAGCGCCTCTTCCCTCATACCGCCCCACACAAAAAGCCGCCACGACAAGCACCACCACAAACAACAGCCTAAACAACTTCATCCAACCTTCTTCGTGCAACCGCTGACCAAGGAGATAGCATGTCCATGCGCTCCTCCGTACATATACAAACCGCGTCGCGCCCATTTATCCTCAAGACCAACAAGACCAACCAACGACTTCCCTCGCGGGGAACATAGTGACGGGCCCACAACACCCATACCCCCCCAAAGCCATACCTGCCAGTCGAACACCGACCGGAACGCATTCCATCGAAACCACATGTTAAGAACCAACGGGTCGACATCACGGTCAAACTAAACAGCCATCGGTCAGAACACTCTACATGCGGCTGTACCGCCGCAAACTTGACATCCCTACCACCTTCTCATCATTCCGGCCGACAAGACAAGCCCAACCATCGGTCAGGTCGTTCTACATGCGATTGCACCGCCGCACACTTGAAATCCCTACCGCCTTCTCATCCTTCCGACCGACAAGACAAGCCTAACCATCGGTCAACCCGTTCTACATGTGACTGTACCGTCGCTCCTTCTAGCCGACATAGGCAAGCCTGGTCGCAAGCCTGGTCGGAGACAACGACCCAATAACCGTGACACCCCTGCCACCATCGCACTACTCTCTACCCGCATGACGCTAAAAAACTGCGCTACTTTGCACTGTGAAACTGGTGGCACTACCACCAGTTTCACAGTTTCACAGTGCAAAGTGTTCACAATTAGACGTGCATGGCTTAGTCTTTGAGACGAGCATATGACTACTGGCAGGATCAACCAGGTAGCGGGTGTAATGAGAAGCTGCAAGGAGCGATGGCCGAGGCACACGTAGGCACGTCACGCCGACCAGCCTACCAAAAGAACGTCGAACAATCGTGGAACGTGCACTGAGCTACCGAGACACCGCGAAGTCCGGCTGTTTGAATTGCAGGTGAACTTCCCCTCCGTAGGCCATCTCCAACGGCAAGGTACCGCACAATCCAACACAGCCCGCCTCACCCGCTCACAAGATTGGCTGCGAACAGCACCCGCCCACACCACACCCTGAGATCGCAAGATAATCACACTATCCGAACAACGACGCGCACGAAGGAACCACCGACCGCTTCGGCCCACAGCCGGATGCCACCGCCCGCCCAAAACGTACCGACAGCGAAGTGCACAGCCTCATCTCTCCATCGAGAAAGGTGGGTGAAGAGAGAAACGAATGCACCATGCTTCCAACACGCCCGGACGGACGGAAAACCTCCACCTGTGCACGGGGGCGCAAAAGGAACACACCCCCTCCCCCCTGGATCCACATGCGCCTGTTGCCACGGGCACCACCAACAGAACTCGACGCAGGCGAAACCCAGGAGACAGAGGACAGTAGCCTTCAAAGCCCACGACCTAAGCGCAGCGGAACCACAACGCAACGCGATCCGTCATGGTGTGCAGCATACCGAGACCACAGGATGGGGGACACGACGGGCACAAGCGCGCATTCCAACAAGCCGGGTGGATGACGGGCCCAACCTCGCGACGCCGTCGGAGGGTGCATCACGCATCCCACAAGTCTCCGCCCTTGCATACAGTAAGGAGCGGGTGCAGGGTCGAGGCCACCTGCGCCACCGCTGAATGACGCCGCTCGGGTGGTGAATAGCGCAGAGCGTCCTCACCAAGTCGTGACACCCCTTCAACACAAACGGAACGCGCTGTTGTGAGTGCGGACATGAAGACGATACCACAACAAAGCCACAACTGCTCTCCCCGAAACCTACGGGATGATGGTGTCGAAGCTGAGAGTCGGTGACGGGCACCTCCGCCTCCACACCGTGCAAACGACCGCCAACCGGACCACCGTCGGCGATCAGGCGCCAATCATCGCAAGACGATGAGCGAGGGTGAACGCAACGATCCACAACCCGGCACCACGGCATAGGAAAGCCACGACAGCCGCGACCGCCGCCAACGACGACCGAGCTGTCGTGAAATAAGCCCTCTAAGAGAGACGACCATGGACCCGCACGGTGCCGCAAAAATTTCCGCTTGACAACCAAGGAACGACTCGCCCGTCTCTCGCAAACTGGAAACCACCCAAAGCGTGTGCAGAGAGTCCCTCGTAGCTCGAGTACACGGTCCCAAAACCCACGCCCGGAACGTCGCCTTTATCGACTGCAAGGGGGCCGCTAAGCACGCAGGCCCCTATAAGAGTGCAAACGGGACTCCGAACCGCCAACCACCGACTGTTTGGCATATCCGGAGGGTGCTCACTGAGCCATCCGCCGAGGGACCTGCACATGTCCCTTTCCAGCAAGCTGACTGAACAGACCCTAATGGCGATGTCCCCCTCGGGATCTCGTCCCTTTCCGCTCTCAATAAGACGCCTCTGGACCTTGGATGCTTGGAGACCCTTTTTTCTCGGGGCCGTTCCTACGCTCGAGTGGCAGTGCGAGGTATCTGCTGCCCCTACAAAATTCGACACCTCAAAAGTC